TAATTTGCATTTCTCTAATTGCTAGAGATGTTGAGCATTTGTTCATATATTTGTTGATTGATTGTATATCATCTTCTGAGAAGTGTCTCAAGGTTCTAGGAATTAAACCAGAGACTCTGTGCCTCATAGAAGAAAAAGTAGACCCAAATCTTCATCATGTCAGATTAGGCCCCAGCTTCTTTAATAAGACTCCTATCTGGGGCCATGGCTCAGTGGTAGAGCACTAGCCTAGCATGTGCAAAGAGGTGCTGGGTTCGATCCTCAGCACCACATAAAAATAAATAATACAAATAAATAAATAAAGACTCCAATAGTGCAAGAAATAAAATTATGAATCAATAAATGGGATGGATTCAAACTAAAAAGCTTCTTCTCAGCAAAAGAAACAATCAGATAGGTAAACAGAGAGCCTACAGAATAGAAGCAAATTTTTACCACACACGAATCTCTAGGATATATAAAGAACTCAAACATCTTAACACCAAAAAACAAATAATCCGATCAATAAATGGGTCAAGGAACTAAACAGACCCTTCTCAGAAGATGATATACATCCAGTGAATTTTTAATTATGTTTTTTTATTTGAAATTATTACATTTTTCCATAAATACCCTAGACATTAACAAATGTTCTAATTCTGGGTCATATTTAGCTTAAGTTTTATTTGCCCAAACACATTATGAGTAGTATATAATAATATTCTATATTTAATGTCTGGATGTTTGTCCTGGTCCTCATTATTGGCACCTTTTTTTAATGTATTTTGACTGTAAACTTCTTATTTTCTTCACTATTGTTTTTATAGAGTTTACAGTCAAAAAGGCAATACCAGTTGAGACAACTTTGATTTCAATTCTCAAATTGAGGTTTTGTTTTCAATCAGAGGTAGTGTGATTTTGGATGGCAATCTCACCTGAAGCCATCTAGTAGTTTACATCTTAGGGATGCTCTTTTTTCCTTCTCTCCCACTCATTGCCTAATAAAAGACAAAACATCTCTGTTTTATCTCCTCTTTATGCAGTAAGATTTATGGCTCATACACTGTTACCCCAAAGGTACAGTCACAGATTCTCTGCTTCATGAGCCCAGGCTCCTACCTCCTTTATCTTGGGAACCCAACCAAGCAGAAACTCCAGGTGTCCTTGATTCAGCAGGAATATTCAGGTGAGAGGTAGCTTTCGTACACATTCTGAGGGTTCTTGCTTTTTCTTTGTTTGGGATCTATAGGTTCCTTATTTTGTGCCAAATTACGAGTGTATAAGTAATATTTTAAAATATTTTGTCCAGTAAATTAGTGGTTTCGTGGTATCTAATCCACCATACTGATGAAAATGGAAGCCATGTTTTTTTTTAAAATTCAAAGTGAAACCCTCCTATTTTGGGGTTTGATGTGAGATGAGAAATATGAGAAGAAAAATGGAAATCAATGAATTTATTATTTAACTTGTGACACTCTAGTGTCAATCCTCTGAACTTGTGGGTATAAGTTACAACAATGGGGATGGGCAGAATAGCTGAGGGAAGTGTAGAAAGTGTCCTCAGACATGTGAGATGACTATGCATCCTTCATTTCTTATTCATACCATATGACAAATAGACCAGTAATATTTTAAATATTAAAGAAAAAACTGAGGGTACTCCACAGTTGGAACTGGGTATGATGTGAAATTTCTTAGATGTAATATTTACATTTTATATAAGAAAATATTATTGGGGTTGTGGCTGGGGTCAGCGGTAGCATAATTGCCTGGCATGTATGAGGTACTGGGGTCAATTCTCAGCACCACATATGTTAACTTATACACTATGAACTCTTTATAACTATTAAATAATACTACATGTTTAAAAGCTAGTAACATGCCAGGCCCAGTGACACAGTAATTCTGGCATTCAGAAGGCTTGGGCAGGAGGATTACAAATTCAAGTTCAGCTTGGGTAACTTTGCAAGATGCTGTCTGAAAAATTAAATTAAAAGGAGTGGGGATGTAGCTCAGCGGTAGAGAACTTGCCTGGTATGCATGAGGCCCAGGGTTCAATCCCCAGTACTGCGTAAATGAATAAATAAATTAGACATAAAATACAAACTGCCAAGATGGAGCAAAGGCAAAATGTGTTCCGTAGTTGGCCTGGAACTAATTTAAGGTGGAGTAAAAGATCAGCTAAGCTGAGAAACAGAATTTTAAGGCAGGTAGATGTAAGGTCACATTAGTGTAGATGCTTAAGTCACTGAAATTGAGAGTGGGAGAAGTGAAGAGGAACACAATGAGCAGGTTTCAGGTGGGTCCAGCACACTAATGAAAAGCAAATCAATTGCAGTGGTGATGGGTGTGAATGTAGGTGCTTCAAAACCTGAGTTGGTGAAAAGTTCCAAAACTGATACTTGGGGTCACAGTACATGATTCTCCAACTTTGGATACATTGGAATGAGAGCTAAATTCTTGTTGGAAAAAAAAGAGAGGGACATTTTCATGGAAGAGTCAAAAGTAATACAAATAAGGAAAAAGGGGTAACAATAGGTAGAGAGGTTGAGAGGCAGTGATGGGATATATAAAAAGTCCTCAAGAGAGGATTTGGGGACAAAAAAAAAATGAAGAACAAGAGAACATGCAAAAAGCTTCTGTTTCTGTAGGAATTTACAGAAATTATTTCCCTAAAGAACAAGAGGAAAGAATACTTTAAAACTGATCTAAAATAGCATTATGGGACTCAGGAACTATGAAAGAGCCTAGCCTGGTATAGGCTCAACTGGTCATTTTCAAAAGAGTCACCATAGCTTCAGATAACTGTTACCTATACAAGTAACCTCAGACTAAATAAATGCTTGGTCTTAAGTGCAATTATCATAACTTCAGGTTCTCCTGAGCCTAAGTATATCTTTGGGTATTTTTTGGTTGTCAGTTTCAAAAAATATGAGGAACATATTTAGCAGCAAGATAAGAAAATAGGGAATAATATTTTGTGACTCACACATAAAGGATAACAAAGGAAAAGAATACATAAGAGATTAGAAACTTAAATCTAGTACTTTTTTCTGTGTGATTGCAGCTACACAGTCACTGTCAGCTTATCGGTCAACTTTATTAGGTGGCATTCAGGAGACTGAGGTGAGAAGTCAAAAATTGACTGCTTACCTTGGAGTATACTTATATTTAAGTTTCTCCCTTTTAAGAAATAAAGAGGGCTGGAGCTGGAGCTCAGTGGCAGAGCACTTGCCTTGCACGTGTGAGGCGCTGGTTCAATCCTCAGTACTACATAAAAATAAACAAAAAAAAAAATAAAGGCATGCTGTCCATTTACAAGTACAAAAATTAAAAACAAAAAAGAAATGAAGAGATGTGCTCTCTTCTCTTTGTTCTCTTCCTTGTAGTTTCACTTATTACCAAGGATTGGAATTAGGAAATTCTATGATGGAAAAATAAACACAAGTACTGTTGTCGTTTCTTCTCTAGTAGCAGCATTCAGGATTGCAAAACCTCATTAGGTTTGCAAAACACTGTAAGAAAAACAACCACCTGCAGATTTTAATTTGTAAGTCCTCACATCACACTCTGAAAATAAAACTTGTATTTTATGAAATATGAGGCAGTGTTGGAACAGACTAAATGGAAAGGAGGTTTATTTTGTTTCATCACAGAAAATAAGCCTCAGTAAAATTTAAGAGCAGCCTTCCACCAGCATAAAACAGAAACACAACAAATAGTGCCAGAGATTTTGCTGTATGCAGTATTATAAGCACAAGAAATATCAAAAGGAAAAAAATGTGCCTTAATACCATCATCTTCCCATAATTAAACATGTGCTTTCTTAAAAACTGGAAATAAGTAAGGAAAGGGATAATAAAAGTATGATGTCACTCTTTTCCTCATTTTGTTTCTAATCTTTACATTAAATGAGTGAATTGCAACATTTGAAAGCCTAAAATTCTAATGGAGCTTATGTGCATTGAGCTTCTTCCGGTGATAGTAGCACTGACTATCATAAAAAGAGAGACATTTTTGATGTTTTTTTATCACAGCATGAAAACTACCACATTATAATAATTTGGCCAATAAAATGTAGTATTAAGCAGCACATTCTTAATCGTAGGAAGTTAGCATAGGGTTATAGTTCCTTTAAAGGTTAACTGAAGATAAGCCATGGAGTCATCAATCTACACAGGGACCAAATAGGAACTCCACCTTTGTATTTGAGTGGATACTGGGCAATCTGGTTTGATGATTCCATTTTAAGAATTCAAGCATATTTTCTGAATGTTCATTGTGTAGGAACATATTTATTTTAATTATTTCTTTATTATGATGTCAGAGTTTTTTATCTGTATCTAGGAAATCCCAGGTCCTTGATTGAGCAAAGAACCAATAAGTGGAGAGTCAGTCATGATGGAGTAACTTTTACTAGGCTAACTCTCTTGCAAAAAACATTAAATTAAATTAAAATTTGGACAAATACATTTTTTAATTATCTGAAGGTAATAAATAATGACCAAAAGCAGGTTGCATGTACAGGAGAGTTGTCAAAAAAAGAACTGTATTCTAAAATCTTAGCACAGGCCCCATGCAGTGCCACTAAGACCCGTGGAAAGGATTTATTTTGACATGAGCATACATACTTTGTTCCCAGTTTTCTGGCGGGGAAAGAGCAGAGGTTATGTAAATATACAAACTGCGAAGTCTACATAAGGTTCAGATCAGTTGTACCAAATTCACTAAAACTGTGTTCAGTGCGCGGGGAGGGCTAATTGAGTCACTCTACCCTCTGGTTCATCACTTAACTCCTGAAACCTAGCTTGAGGCTGTCTCAGTAGCAGGAGGAGCTTACGACGGCTGTGAGACTGCCGACATCCACTAGAGGAGCTGTTTTCTGGTTGCCTCAAGGCGGGGCATAGGGTAGAAAGAAAGTATAAAACCCCTAACATCCGGGAATTCCACTAGAGGGCGCAAAGGAATGCTGATGTAGTTAGGTCGTCTGCAGCTGCCGTAGCTCCCCGACAGGAAACAGGAAGCGGATTTTCCTCTCCGAAAGTCAGTGTTCCGGTGTAAACGTAGAGGGTATCCCGCAGTAGAGTTTGACTGTAGGGGGTTCGTAAGTTGTCACGGAGTGCTTACTTTTGCTTCTGCTCCACCTTTTTCTTACAGTCTAAGCAATTTGTCCTGAGCCAGGTCTCACTAATTGGTACAGAAGCCTTGTCAGAACCATGGCCGAATACTCCTATGTGAAGTCCACCAAACTTGTGCTAAAGGGAACGAAGGCTAAGAGGTGAGACCCCGAAGCTCCGGCAGGAGGCTTCTCGGTTTTTCTGTCGCGTCCCCGCGGCGGGCGAGTCCCTTCGAAGTCCTAGAGTTCTGTCTTTTTAGCCCCCTGAGCTGTACAGAGGCTGCGACTCAAATTCGCGGCACTTGTGCAGAACTGGGCAGAGAGGCGACCAAGCTGTAGCGTCCCGGAAAAAAGACGGGAAAAGTGGAGACATGTAGCCCAGGAGCGTCATGTTACAGTCCCGGAGGCCTCCTTCGGGTTTCTGTATGATGGGACTGCGCTAACCTGTTCCCGTATGTCATGATGATAACTGGCTTTTAGGAGAAATTAGTTTTCACCTTTGCCTCCCTTCCCCGTAAAAATTCATAATTGTTTGTGTACAACCAGTAACTTGAAAAATTGTGCTCTGTGTATAATATGAAATTAATTGCATTCTGCCACCATGTATAATAAAATAGAATAAATAATTTAATAAAGAAAAAGATTCATGATTGTTTCCCATGTAATATGCAAGGGGAAACTGGGCTGAGTTACACAGTGATTAAGGATATTGGTTTTGATAGAGATGTGAGCTCAAATGGGGAATGCACCGATTATGGAGTTTGTAATTAGTGGCAAATTGATTAAAATCTGAGTTTCCTTGTATTTGTTGATATTGGTAAAGAATTATGAGGATTAAATGATATGACATGTGGCCAAAGAAATAAATAGAGCCAAATGAAAGGAGGTTTTAATGATGATTTATGGTTATTAACTGTGTAGGGAAAGACACATGTCCATTCATATCTGCATTTCTTTTGAACCGGTAGATTTGTCTGCTTGATTATTATACAAATGTTGAGCATTTACTCCTAATCTGAGTGATAAACAGAATTTGGGGCATTTTTAGGTAAAAAGGAAAGTGTGTCAAGGAGCTAACTGAAGTCACTGCCTTGAGAACTCTTGCTAGGGGCCTGTTTATTATGAAGAATTTACCCTAAATCTTCTTATCTTTGAAACTTTTACTGTCTAACTCAGCAGGGAGGAGAGGGGAGTTAACTTCTGAAAACTTCCTTTATAGTTAAAAGGCAAACAAATGTGTTTTATAGTTTTCATGATTATCAATTGTAATTAGCATTTGTGTAGCGCTGTGTGCCAAGGATTGTTCTAAGCACAGCATATTAACTTTTTTTAATCACCCTTGTTTTTTATTATTGAGATTATTTTGTATGCCATAAAATTCACCTTTTTATAATATTGAAATTATAGAGCTAAGAAGTGACAGGATAAGGAAGGCCTTATGTACAGTTTCAAGACTTTTCTATGCTTATATCTAGTGACATTTAACACCCAAAACAATATGCCTAAACTCATTTATCATACTTTTCTCCCATAGTAAGAAGAAAAAAAGCAAAGATAAGAAGAGAAAGAGAGAAGATGATGAAAAAACCCAACTTGATATTGTTGGTGGGTCATTTCAGTACTTTATTCTGAGAAAACTTAACATTTGTGAAGATTCCATTTAAAATAATTTCCTAGATAGAAATTTATGACCTATTAATTTTTGTCTGAAAGTGCTCATGCATACTTAGAGTTGAAGATTCCTCATATTTGTGAGCCCTGTAGATGTCACTGATGCTTTTTCTTCATCATCAGAACAATGTGCAGGAGAGAGGAAGAATGACTCTTGGATTTAGTAGGCACCTTTAAACTCCTTAGTAGGCAAAGCTTCTTATCCATCATTTTAAAGGCCTACTGTAGATAAGTTTATTTAACCAAATTATTTTCTTTGAACATCTAAGCAGTTTATTTGTAGAAGTCAGTAATTTGTCTCTCAAGGAAGTATAATCATAGTAAAAAATAATTATTTTGTAAGCAGTAAAATGAAACTCCTAATTAAACAGAATAGAATATGTAGGTATCCTGTAGGTAGTACTAAAAATAAACGGACCCAAACACATTTATGAGCCAATTCTCTGTCTAGTTGTTTTATCCTCTCCATACCTGTACTTAAGAAGAAATTTCTTTACTTTTACCATGTGGCAAGTTATATTCTGGCTTTTCTTAATTTATGACTGCTTTAAGTCTATGTAAAAGTAGGAAATGGTATAGTTATGGAAAATTGCACATTTTTTGGAAAGAACAAATCAGCAATTCTAAAACTAGGGTAAATATCTTGGGAATACTTGTAGTTGTGGAATTACTGTGTTGAAAGGTGAATATTTAACTATAAAAAGAAACCACCCCAGATTTCCTGAATTGGTGCTACTTTATCCTCCCACCAAGAATGAGTGAAAGTCCCAGAAGTCCCTGTTGCTCCACATCCTGGCCAGCAGTTGATGGCATTATCAGTCTTTTCTCCCAGTCATGCAACTTTTCGTTTTCTTCTTGGTGTTTTGTTTTGTCTTTGTTTTTTGTTTTGTGGTGGGGAGGTACCAGAGATTGAACTCAGGGGCATTGGCCACTGAGCCACATCCTCAACTCTGTCTTGTATTTTATTTAGAGACAGGGTCTCACTGAGTTGCTTAGCACCCCACCATTGATGAACTCGCAATACTCCTGTCTCAGCCTTCCGAACCTCTGGGATTACAGGAAGGCACCACCATGCCCAGCTATATTTGTTATTTTTGGTGAGAAGTTTTTAGTTTTTCTAAAGCTCAGTTTTATTTTGTTTGGTTTTTCTTTTATAGTTACATCCTTACCTCTGTTCCAAGAAATATTTTGCTTACTCTAAGGTTATGAAAAATTCATCTACTTTTGCTTTTCTATAGGCATTTTTAGTTTTTACATTAGCTCTATTATCCGTTTCAAATTAATTTTTGACATAGTGTGAGAGGGTGTCAAGCATTCCCTTTCCCCACATGGATAATGTTTTTCTTCAGCCCCATTGTAAAATAGACTTTCCTCATGAAACTGCTTTGGTATATCTGTTCAAAATCAACTGAATCTCTATGTATTTGCTTTTTTAAAAAATTTTTTTAGTTGTAGATGAACACAATACCTTTATTTTGTTTTTCGTTTGTTTTGTTTTTATTGATTTTTACGTGGTGCTGAGGATTGAACCCAGTGCCTAACACATGCTAGGCAAGTGCTCTACCATTGAGCTACAACCCAGCCCCATATATATTTGTTTCTTAACTCTTGCTTCATTGACATATTTTTCTCTTCAATTGATGTCATTACTATAACTTCATAAAATTGTGAGATCAACTAGTGAGTCCTGCAAGTTTTTACATCTTTTTTCAAGATTAACTATCCCAAGTCACTTATACTTTCATATAAATTTTAGGATCAATTTATTACTTTCTAAATTAAAATCCACTTGATTTTCTGGAAGAATTGTATTAAATTCATATCATTTGGATAGCATCAACACCTTAGCGATATAGAAGCTAAATAATTTTAGTTTTCAATGTTATAGTTTTCTCATGTCTTTTCAAAATTTTTTATTAAGTATTTTATAAATTTTTATAAATTGAATTTTTAAATTTTCTTTGTTTGCTGTCATTATTTGATATATAATTAGTTTATCTATATATCAAGCCTTATAGCTGGAGACATAAAATTCCCTTATTAATTTTATTGATTTTGTTTGTTTACTATGTAGAGAACCAAGAAGTATGCACCCATATTTCCTGTGACTATAGCTTTACTTCTTTTTTAAATATTTTTATTAATTATTGATGAAATTTTTTATTTTATTTATTTGTATGTGATGCTGAGAATCAAACCCAGTGCCTCACACATGCTAGGCAAGCTCTCTACCACTAAGCCACAATCCTAGCCCTATAGCTTTACTTCTTCCTTTCCAGTGTTTATTATGTTTTATTTCTCTTTATTGCTTTTTTATTCTATGCAGGACTTCTGTAACGTTGAACAAAAATGATAAGAATAATCATAATTGCTTTGTTCTCAGTCTTACTTAGAAAGCTTTTAGTAGTCGTCTCCCATATAATATGATTTAGCTGTAAGATTTTCTTAGACTTCCTTTATCAAAATTAGCATCATTTAGCATCCTGGGAGATGTTTTGGGGCTTTTTTGCAATACTGGGGATTGAACCCATGGTCTCCTGCATGCTAGGCAAGCACTCTACCGCTGAGCTACATCCCCAACCCTTTTTTTTAAGAGAGAGAGAATTTTTTTTTAATATTTATTGTTTAGTTTTCGGCAGACACAACATCTTTATTTGTATGTGGTGCTGAGGATGGAACTCAGCGCCGCACGCATGCCAGGCAAGCGTGCTACGCTTAAGCCACATCCCCAGCCCATCCCCAACCCTTTTTATTTTTAATATTTGAGGTAGAGGTTCACAGTGTTATCCAGGCTGACATCAGACTTGCAATTCTCTTGCTTCAGCCTCCTGAGTAGCTGGGATTATAAGCGTGACCTCTGTACTTGGTCAGTGTCTTTGGATTGTTTTTTTGTTTTGTTTTTCTGGTACCAGGAATTGAACCCAGGATGCTTAACCACCGAACCACATCCCCAGCCCTTTTTTATATTTTGTTAGAGATAGGGTCTCACTGAATTGCTGAGACTGGGTTTGAACTCACTATCCTCCTGCCAGTGCACCCCCATCTCCCATTGCAGGTGTGCACTACCATGCCTGGCATATCCTGGGATTTTTATCATAAAGGTGTTCGATTCTGTCAAAATTTTAAAAAAGGGCTGGGGATGTTGCTCAGTAGTTAAGCACCCTTGGGTTTACTCACTAGTACCCCCTGCCAAAAAAAAAAAAAAAAGGATTTGGTTTGAAACCTAACATTAGATTTAAAGAAAACCTACTCTTGACAGTGGTGATAGTTACATGAATCTGCCTACATACACACAAACAAGGGCTTATTTACTGGTGAAATCTGAATGAGGCTTATAGATTATGTCATTATCAATTTCCTAGCTTTGTACAGTAGTTATGAAAGACATTAATTACCATTAGGGGAAAGTGAGTAAAGAATAAATAAGATCTCTACATTATTTCTTACAACTGCAAAACAAAAACTTTTAAAAATAAGTTATAACAAGAACAAAAATGTGTGTCAATCCTAAGTTTCAATATGGATTTTACTTTTTAGGAATCTGGTGGACAGTATCCAACTTTGGTGAAATTTCAGGAACCATTGCCATCGAAATGGATAAAGGAACCTATATTCATGCTCTTGACAATGGTCTTTTTACACTGGGAGCACCACATAAAGAAGGTTTGTAGCTGATGAAAATTTTCAAAGGGAAAGGCCTTTAATATATCAGTTTTTATGACATTCATACACTTTGGCCAAATTTTAACTAGTCCTCAGCATATTCTAAAAGAATGGAGTCACTGCACTGGATTCTTCCACATTTTCTCATCCTTAGTATACCCATTATTGGCAATTTCCTCTTTCCAGTATAAGCATTTGAAAACATTGCAAATAATGCTAGAGTTTCTGTGGAAATCAAAAGCAACATAAATAATTGAAATATTAAATGGGAAGAAAAAAGAAAACCTTGTTAAGTCAAAAGTTTAAATTTTTTTTTCTTTAGACTTTTGCCAGAAGTAGCCTGGGTATAGTTGGCAACTGGAAATTTTCTCATTCTCTTTAGCATACAGGGGAAACATTAATGAGGTGTGAAGTGTAAAAAGGAGTAGTATCATTTGGTCAGAATGGTCATTCCTTGAACAAGTAAATATTTTAAATATTAAGTGCTTACTTATGTATTGTATTTTAAGACACAAAGAGAAAATATCTTGGAAGTGATTAAATAAATCTCATGCCAGCATATCTTAGGAAGTATGTAAAATTAGCTGTGTAATGATAAGATAACAAGATCATAATACTGTGGACACTATATTATCACAATTGTGCCCAAGTATCTTTTCTTAGATTTAATTTTCAGAGGAGAAAAATGTTTTAAAGCAAAAAATATCTTTACGTGTGTGTATGTGTATATATATAAAAATATTAAATATTTTCAATCCTTTTCTCCTATAGTTGATGAGGGTCCTAGTCCTCCAGAGCAGTTTACTGCTGTCAAATTGTCTGATTCCAGGTAAGTTTGAGTTGACCTACAATTAAGCAACTTTTTTGAAAAGTAGATTTTGTGACATTCAGAAATGTTATTTATATACCCAGTATATGTTTAAGTTTTTAGTTAGATTTGTATTAACTGTTATTTAAGAGGAAAATGAAACTTTCAGGTATAGATTAGTTGTCCCGTATTCAAAATGCCCAAGTGTTTTGGATTTCTGATTTGGGGGACTTTGAATTTTATATTTATATATAAAGTTTTATACACATACATAATGAGATATCTTGGGCATAAAATGACACGTAAACAAAAAATTCATTTATATTTCATATACCCCTTATATATATAGACTAAAGATAATTTCATACAATACTTTTAGTATTCTTACATTTTGCTACATGAGGTCAACTGTAAACTTTTCCACCTGTGGTAACGTGTATAATTGAGAAGTTTGGAGCACTTCACATTTTCAGAGTAGGGATGTTCAACCTATATAAAGTATATATTATAATTCTTATAATATATAATACTTACTTTTATAAAACATGATTTTATAAAAAATTAATGCTACCAGAGACCAAATAAAATAGGTTGGAAAGATTATGTGAAGAAAATAAACAGCGTAAAACCTGGTTCATTGATGCTGTGGCATATAAATTTATTACTCAGAAGTCAAGAAACAGGAGGATAAAAGAAAGGAGTATTTTGAAACCAGCATAGAATGTTACTTAATCCTAAAGAACCCAAAGAATATTTTATTTACTGTTTTTATAATTCTTTCATGAGCTGATCTTTTTTTTCTCACAGTGAGAAAGAAGTGCAGAATGGGTATTAGATACCAAAATTGAATTTTAATATTCTAGTTAATTGGTTACATCAATATGATGATGATTTGCATTATATTGTCATAAACCTATAAATGACTACTTTGTTAATTCTGGAATCACAGGAGACTAGTAAGGTAAAATAATTGGAAATCATAATTATGGAGAAAATTATTAAGATGATCAGTTTTATACTTTCTTTAAAAGTGTAATAAATTAGTGAAAGACTTTAAAAATGAAACTGGTAGGAAAAATGCAAACTTTGTCATAACAAAAAACATTATAAACAGACAAATGATCAACAACTTTAATAAGCATTCAGTGCCTACTCTTTATACGTACGTATGAGTTTTTTAATACTAATGACCTAATAGAAAAATGGCCAACAGGGGCTGGGGTTGTGGCTCAGTGGTAGAGCACTCGCCTAGCATGTGCAAGGCCCTGGGTTCCATCCTCAGGACCACATAAAAATAAATAAAATAAAGATATTGTGTTCAACTACAACTATTTAAAAAAAAAAAAAGAAAAATGGCCAACAATAAGCCCCCAACAGAAGAATGGACATGCATATAACTAGATAATTTTAAAAATGAAAAATGAAAAAAAAATGTATACATCATTCTTACCAATAATTGTAATGCAAATTAAATAGGGTGCTATTTTTTCCGTATCATGTTTTTAAGTATTTTTTTAGAGAAAGGATGTTTGGAAAAAAAAATTCATAATTAGGGTTGGGTTTGTGGCTCAGTGGTAGAGTGCTTGCCTAGCATGCACATGAGGCACGGGTTCAATCCTCAGCACCACATAAAAATAAAATAAAGGTATTGTCTCCACTTACAAAAAATGTATTTAAAAAATCCATGATTAAAAACAAGTTGTAACTTGAGAAATCAAGTTGATAGATACATCCTTTTCTAGAAAGTAACTTTACAGAACATGGTAACTTTAAAGTTGATACTTTTAAAAATATTTATTTATTTTTTTTTTTGTAGTTGGACATAATACCTTTATTTTATTTATTTTCATGTGGTGCTGAGGACCGAACCAAAGGCCTCACATGTGCTAGGCAAGCACTCCTCTGCTGAGCCACAACCCCAGTCCCTAAAGTTGATACCTTTTGATTCAGTAACCTCCTTTTCTAGAAATCTCTCCTAAGGATAAATTAGTAATTTCATAATCAAAAACTATATTAATAGGACTTCATATAATGGCAGAAAAATAAATTTTAATACCCCTATAATAGAACATTAAATGTATTGAAAGTAACACGTTTATAGAATAGTTCATTTAGAAAAATATTATGTAATATATAATGTAAGATGTTATACAATGCATATATTCAGAAGAAAAATGTAAAAATGTAATATTGTGTATAAAAATTACAGTGTCCAATATGATAGCAACAAGCCACATACAGCTTTTGAACACTGAAATTATGTCTAGTCTGAATGTATGCATATTTCAATATATAAACATCCACAGGTACATATAATATGCTGTTTTTATATTCTATATTTATTGTTCATTCTTAATTTTTAACATTTATCCATTTAATTAATTCAAAGAATTGCACTGAAGTCTGGATATGGAAAATACCTTGGTATAAATTCAGATGGGCTTGTTGTTGGTCGTTCAGATGCAATTGGACCAAGAGAACAATGGGAACCAGTCTTTCAAGATGTAAGTGCCATGGTTATTTATAAAAGCTCCCTATCATTAAGTCTTAAATAGTCAGTGAAAGCATGTTTTCTAAAAATAAATAAAAATAACAGGTGCAATATGCAATAACATAATTACATTAAATTGTAAAAGATCAATATGAACTTGTAATCTTCAAAAGAACTCAAACACAATAGTGCAACAAAAAGAACAGTAGTACATTTGCCTACGATAGTTTAAGTACACCCATGGGGCCTAGATATAAGTCTCTTTTATCTAACCAGGACTTTAAATAATGGCCAATCTTGAGTCTCCAACTAGGGAAACAGGATAATTCAGGAGTATCTTCCTAACATAAATCATGTATTTTTTCCAAAAATTACAGAATGTGGTAAGTGGAGAGTGGAGCAAGCAAAGGCTAGACTGAACAAAAATATACAGGGACTAAACAAATTGCAAAGAGTTGAAGCAAGAATAGCAAGGACCAGTGGGCAGCAAGTAGATCAAGGGAAGGAGAAATTCAGTAGTTGGATAGTACCAGCTATATAGGATAACAAATTTAAGCTAGAACCCAATTGTGGTTTTCAAGATCATAAATTAGCACAACATTCCCTCAAAAAGTAAGACTCATTTCTCTACCCTCTAAAATAAAATATTGAGTTAGTGACTTTGAAACTCTTAACCCCAATCCAGTTGAGAAATAACGTTGCTTTTAAAATCAAGGAGAACAAAATAATTTAATCTAAAGACTCTTTTGCCAGCATTCTCATAGCTCTTAATATTTTTTGTGTGCCATTTTGCTTTATTTAGGGGAAGATGGCTTTATTGGCCTCAAATAGTTGCTTTATTAGATGTAATGAAGCAGGAGATATAGAAGCAAAAAGTAAAACAGCAGGAGAAGAAGAAATGATAAAGGTAATCATAACTTTAACTTTTTTCTACAGACTAATACATGTCACATATGTGATATGACTACAGCTCTATACAACATTGACTTATCACTTCAAAGACATCATGGCTTTTTATAATATGTTCCAGATAGATTTTATTTTTAATTACAAATCCCATAATTGCTGACTTTTTTGCACAGTGTGATAGAGAAATTACTGCACTTTTCAGGCTTGTTTTTATTTTTATTTTTTATAGTTTTAGATGGACCGAATGCCTTTATTCTTTGTTTATTGTTTTGTGATGCTGAGGATCGAACCCACCCATGTGCAAAGCAAGCGCTCTGCCATTGAGTTACAGCCCCAGCCCTCAGGCTTGGTTTTAAATAACAGTATATAAAGTCATAAATTACAGTGTTCACCTCTATCTACCCTGTCCCTATTACTCCCTATTTTTTAATATCCCCTAAAGTTTTTTTTATAAATATATGAATATGTTTATAAGTTTATGCCTTAAATTTTCCCCTTAATATTGTATCTTAGAGATTTTTCCTATTAGTATATGTGTAGAAAGTTCTCTCTCCTGCCCTTTCTTTTCATCCCCTCTACCTCTTTCTCTTTCTTTGTTTTGATAACTACATAGTGATCTATTTTAGAGATGTACTTTAACTTACTTAATCATTCTCTTATAGAGGGAAATTTGAGATGTTTCCAGGCTTTTATTCTTAAAAACAGTGTTGTAGCACTTAATATTATGAATGGGCATCATGTTGTATATGTGCAAGTGTATCTGAAGATTAATTCCCATAGAGGTGGTGCAAAATTATATTTGCACCAACATGTATAAGAAGGTTACTAAGTTGTTTTAGTGATACTTGACCATCTGTGAAGCTAATCACTGCATAGTTATAGCAGAACTTCTAGGGCTTTATCCCTCAAATTGTTGTTCTTTATATGAATGAGTATGTTGTCTTTACATGAAGAGAAGTATGAAACACACAAGGCATTTTTAAAATTTCCTATCAGTCACTAAGCTGGAAATAAAAGTTCCTTATGTGAGGCAAATTTCCTAATCCTACTTTCTTTTATTTGTGAAAGTTACACACTCATTTTCATGTCAAGGTGAAATTTTAAATAAAAGTGCCCAGTAACTGAATCAGGTGGTTAACTCAAAGGAGATGAAGCCATTTAGTAGAGCCTTAATTTTTTCAAAAATCCACTTTATCTTAATGACAAACACATATGAAGATGTGTCTAAAGAATAATTACCATTTTCTTCTTAGATTACTTTTCTTTTTCTTAGTGTCTATCTCAGTACTGAGTATTCTGGACCTCCCCTCATTTGTATCTGTTGGGAATCACAGTTTGCAGGTTGTCTCAACAAAATTTGGTGTTTTTAACACGTTGGGGAGAGCCAGAGTGGAAGGCTCTAAAAATGGGGGGAGCCATTTCTAAAATGACCTTAATCTTTACAAATAAAGCATAAAAAATGATTGTCATATTCTCTACTACCAGCATAATCCATAAGTATCTATCCTATATGTATACATGCTTTGTGTTAGATTCTTTGTACATTCGCTTTCATTTGACAGATGGTCTTAATTTCACAGCAGTCAATTTAGTCTTTTAGTATTCTTTTTTCCTTGAAAAACAGTGCTAATCTTCTTAGACAAGAATAATACCATTAACTCTTACTGCATCATTTGAAGTTGGCTGATGGAGAAATAGTACACCCCCTAAAAGATAGTATGGGAACTAGAAATTTTGCTGCCTTTTGAGTGCCAGAAATCTCATTTAAAACTTAAGTATTTTATCTTATTCTTTGAAAAGTCATATGTTCTAGAGAAACATATGATGGTAATTTTTTATATAAATCACATATAAATCCAAAACACATCCCTAGAGCCTTTTTTCAGTCTAATACCTAAGTTAATTATGTTGTTTTGCATACAAAATCACCTAGAAAGCTGGGAATGTAGCTCAGTGGTAGAGCGCTTGCTGGAGGCCCTGATTTTAATTTTCTAGCACTGTTATTAACCAAAAAAAGAAATCACCCAGAATGTCCTTGTGCTTTGTGTAATAAATTGGGTAAGCAATGGTGAAGATGAATGTATAACCTATTGGGCTCTTATCTCTCCAATATCCAGATTAGGTCCTGTGCTGAAAGGGAAACCAAGAAAAAAGATGACATCCCAGAAGAAGACAAAGGAAATGTAAAACAATGTGAAATCAATTATGTGTATGTATTCTTCTCTTTTAGATTCACAGATCTGATAGTGAAGCACTTCTCAAGGAACTTTTAAAGTAAAAACAGCTGAATGACAAGAAGAGGCAGCATAATGAATACTATAAAGCAAAGCACTCAGCTAAAAGCTTTTCTCTCAGCTTTAGTTTTTCTAATTGTCCTCAAGGCTAAAGTCCCTTGGCCTCCTCATTTCTCCTGGTTCCTTAAGAATTTCTGTGATGACTGGGACTGGGATTGTGGCTCAGCGGCAGAGCGCTCACCTAGCATGTGCAAGGCTCTGGGTTCAATCCTCAGCACCACATAAAAATAAAATAAAGATATTGTGTCCAACTGTAACTTAAAAATAAATAAATATTTAAAAAAAAAAAAAAAAAAAGAATTTCTGTGATGTTACCCAGGAGCTGTTCATGTTCAGAACCCAGGGGACTCCAGCCCACATTTCCAGGAAGAAGTAACTTTTCAGAATTACCCAAATGACGTCCTTCTTGGTAGTAGTCATAGAGGTCATTTTGTAGTTTAAAAGCTGTTAAATTATTAAGTATGCTTAGATTCTTTCAATGAGAAAAACTTGAATGATATTAGCAACTTCATCAGTAAACATGTATAATCAAAATATACTTTGAGATACTTCTCAATGATGACATTTTCTTTACAGAAAAAAATTTCAGAGCTTCCAAGACCACAAGCTTAAAATAAGTAAAGAAGACAGCAAAATACTTAAACGGGCTCGAAAAGATGGATTTTTGCATGAAACACTTCTGGACAGGTAAATATATGTTTATGTATTTCTAATTGTTTTCAGTATCCAGAAGAAGTGGCATGTATAAATCCATTGTACTTTTTAAACTACCATAGTATTCATTTTTCAGTTTTTATTTATCTCTAATTTATGTATATAGTATTATTACCTAGAGAGGACATCATAAATCTGATTAATGATAACCAGAGTCTAAGTATTATATGCTTTATTTTAAGAAATTCAGGGTTGATTGAAACTATTGCATAAATTTACTTACCAGAATTAGAAGGCTGTTTGAATAATATCAAAACTCTGGATTCTATTAGAATAGTACAAGTTCCTAAAACTGAGATAAAAATAGATGAATTTTTAAAATAACTCAAGTATAAAAATTAAATAAGTTAAATTGGATCTATTTTATTTTAGATTCAGAAATGTGCAGGGAATTTATCATAGCATAGTAATAACTGTTCATTAATATTTCTAATTAAATAAATAGTGCTCTACGTTTACAACCTATAAAAATAGGTAGAGAGGTTTAGTTGTGAGCTTGCAGCTATAAATCAAATATGTGCCATATAGAAGAGTTAGTAATTTCCTGTCGTTCATTCAAGTTCTATGTTGCAAAATTACTCATCCTTTCTTTACATTGTCTGATAAAGGTAGTATATAATCATATATTTCTTGGTAACTATTTGGTGGAATTCTTACCTGAAAACAGTAAATGTCATAAGAATTTTTTCCATTGAGCAAATTAATATGTATATAGTTCTGAGAAATCAAAAAAGGTATAAAATATATTCAAGATGTGGACTCTAAAATAAAATAAGCTGTTTGCCCTGTAACTTTATCTCTTATAAAAAATATACCAGTGCACCCAATAGGAATTTAGGAAGGCTTAAATTCAAGTAATTAAAATTGCTGTTATAACTTGAAAAAGCCATTAGGCAATATTTCTTAAATATTAATAAACAAATTCCATAAAACTACATTTTATTTTCTAAAAAAAGAATGCTAAAAAGTAAAGTTTTAGTAAAATTTTTATATATATAATTGTAGTAATATAATCAAAACAAAACACAGATACTTAAGTTTGAGTTTTATGTTTAGTAATAGTGTGACTGTATAAAGTATGTTTTACATTAATTAATTTTTATTTGTCTTAAACAGGAGAGCCAAATTGAAAGCTGATAGATACTGCAAATGACCAGGATTTTTATTTCTTTCTCCTTTTGTTTTTTCTGAATAAAATATTCAGTGGCAGTGCTTTTACAGAGTTCTTGGGTTATGTGAAATTATTAGTATCTACTTTCATCAAGATTAATTAAGATTCTTGATAGATTTACTTTTCAGTTAACTATACACACTTAAAAGTACTACAGACATTTCTTTACTGGAATTCTTGTTATAAAGCGTGAAGTACTACTCTGAGAAACTAATGTTTCCTGTGTGGCTTGTGAAATCCATCATACTGCTTTAGTCTCTCTTCTCTTGACACAATCATTGCTTAATCAGAACCTTTAGAAGGAGCATAGAAATTCACACTGCAGTCAATCAATAAGGGTTTGATTCTTCCTCTTGTTTTTTATTTGTTTGCAGGCTGGGGATCAAACCCAGAGCCTTTTGCATGATAAGCAAGAACTCTAAAAACTGAGTTTAATTAGGACAGGGGGTTAGCCTCAGTGTTTATATGTGTGTAATGCTTTTATCTTCACTTCCAGGATGGGAGCTGCCTAACACATTCAGCTTTGCTGAGTTCTGATTTACTGAGGGTAATCTTTCTGAGTTGAACACAGTACTCTAGATGTTGATTCCAAATCCACACTGTGTACTAGATGCCTGCATTTCACCACAGGAAATTCTGACTTAGAACTGACATTGGCTACGCATTTCTGTTTTTTTAAAAGTCCATATTGAATCCAGTTCACAAGTAGGATTCATACCTGCCCGATCTATTTGATCCTGTCTAGTGCTAACCTTATATTCCATCTGTCACTAAATCTAGAGTTGTATATGGCCCCTCTGCAAACATGGTAGCTAAGCTACTACTGTCAGTCTCATATAAGCTAATGCTGGAGGTATAGCCCCAATTTAGCATTCCTAATCCATTAGTCTAGTCGGATGTTCCCCTACCCCCAGCCATATATTCTCCTGCTTCTAATCCTCTTACTTGGAAAATGTTTACTACTAGAATCCCCCAATGCACTGGTTCTGATTCTCAATCCCAGGCTATTGTGCCTCCTAAGGGACATATATCAATATGGGGACTTGTTTGTTTGAAAAAAATTGAGAGACAAGAAAGATGCTAGGGATGCTTCTAAACATCCTACCATGGACAGGACAGCCACCTGCTACCCTTCTCCCCCATCAGAGATCATCCAGCCTATAAAGCCGACCGTTTCAAGATGTGAAACCTACTCCAGGGCTTCATCTATTCTTTGCTTTTACTAGCTCCCAATCCCTAGTTTGAATTTGTATATAAAAGAATGACTGGAGTTGGGGTTGTAGCTCAGTGGTAGAGCGCTTGTCTTGCAGGTGTGAGACACTGGGTTTGATCCTCAGCACCAAATAAAGATAAATAAAATGTAATGTGTCCAATTACAACTAAAAAAAATTTAAAAAAAGAATCACCTATAACACCTACAATTTTATTAGTTGTTGATAGACCTTTATTTATTTTTATGTGGTGCTGAGAATCAAACCCAGTGCTTTACACATGCTAAAGGCAAGCACTCTACCACTGAGCCACCCCTGCCCTCCAATATAGATTTCTAAGACCAATACTTAGTGATTCAGGATTATCAAGTCTAGGATTAGGCTGGAAAATTGCATTTTAACAAGTAAAAGGAATAATGCTTTGATGAAGATTCCCTCAAGAGATTAAGTCTTGCTAGCTTGATACCTGAGACCATATCCCTGATGACTTACTCCCTGGAAGAAATATTCTATCTGCCTGCATTACTGCACATAGTGTGTTTCTGGGTCCCTTTATCACTTCACTTGGTCTCATATTTCTGTTCCTGCCCTTATGAAGTGAGCAAAGCTAATTAGAGGTCCAAATCAGAAGATAAAGATGAAAAATATGCATTACCTGCTCTCATGGAGTTTATGCACTAGTGAAGGGGAAAGCAATTGCAAATAACAGGTGCTCTCTCTTTTTTCTCCCATTGTACTTTATACCAGTGCCTTTATAGCACTGAAGTCTGTCTGGAGGAATGGCAAAGGTAAGAATTAATAAATACATCCTTGAGGGTGGTAGAGTGCCCTCCTAACATGCACAGGGCCCAGAGTTTGATCCCTAGCATTGCAAAATTTTTAAAAATGCATCTAAATATTGTCATCTGGTCCATATGTTATTTTCTTATATGTGAGGATGAGAGAATTTCCTTAAACTGTTGTTGAACTTCATATACATTCTGACTAAGCATTCTCCCGATTTACCAGTCTAGTAATCTTAAATAATAATAAAGGTGCTAATCCAAGAGAAAGTGCTTACATGAATTTTTTCATGTTAAGTAATTTCACTTGTTCTATATTCATGTTCACCAATACATTGTTTTACTATCTCTAAACTGCTGTTAAACACTACCTGGCAATTTTTTTCGCGGGGGGGGGGAGGCGGGGAGTATTTTGGGATATACTGTATTTTTTACTTCTAGAATTTTCTGTAGTTCCTTTTAATTTCTTTACTGTGACTTCCTTTCTTCATTACAGTGTTGTGTGTTTTATTTTATTTTCGAGGGAGTTGAGGGTTGTGTCTGGGTAGAGGTTTTACTAACTGCTTAAAAATCTGCATCTGTTAATCTCAACATCCAGGCCACCTTGGGATCAGTTTTCATATTGCCCTTTATTTTAAATATGTTTCTTCATATATCTGACATAATTGGATCATGTCATGAACATGATAGAAATTAGATTTTGTTTTGTTCCTCTGAAGAATTTGGAGGTTTTTTTTTTGAGAGAGAGAATTTTTTTAATATTTATTTTTTTTTAGTTTTCTGCAGACACAACATCTTTGTTTGTATGTGGTGCTGAGGATCGAACCCAGGCCGCACGCATGCCAGGCAAGCGCGCTACCACTTGAGCCACATCCCCAGCCCCGAATTTGGAGATTTTGGTGTGGAGAGAGTGCTCTTTTGTTGGTTTAGTAGACATTTAACTTGGTTGACCTCATGCCCAAAATTCAGTCTCTCTACAGTGGGCAATAGTTGTAAACTTCCTTCAATTCTTGTAATTTTATCTAGACTTTTGAAATCAGTCTCTTGCATGTCAGACTCAAAACAGTATGGTATAAAGGCAGTGTGGCTCTCTTGTGGCTCTTTCCTTGCCTAGATTTCCTCATTATCATCCAGATACTTCTGTCACTCTAAACTTAATCCTCTGATTCCTCAGCTAGTAGGACTTTGGTTTCTCTGAGTTTTCATGACTCTGAATGGCACTACATGGCACCTGTGCTAAGATATGTAAAAAATTCCGTGTGTGTGTTAGTGTGGGTTGAACTCAGGGGTACTGTACCAGCAAGCTACATTCCCAGCCCTTTTGAGACAGGTTCTTGCTTAGTTGCTGAGGCTGACCTCAAATTTGGGATCCTTCTGCCTCAGGCTTCCAAGTCCCTGGTAATACAGGCTTGTACCACCATGCCTGGTTTATAATTCCTTTAATAGGGTCAACTCTCCTCTACTTTCAGCCTGTTTTTGGCTAATATCTGTTTAGATAATTTTAAAAAACATTTTGACCAAAGTTTAATTGTGTGTATAGAAGGTTATTCTAATAGAAGTTACTCCACTATGACCTGCTCTAACAATTATTGGTCTCTTGTCCTCCCAAGATTGAGGAGCTGGGTTTGTTTTTTGTTTTGTTTTTTAATTTTTTGTAGTTGTAAATAGACAGAATGCCTTTATTTTGTTTATTTTTATGTGGTGCTAAGGATCGAACCCAGTGCCTCAAGTGCTGGCCAGCATTCTGCCACTGAGCCATAGCCACAGCCCGAGGACAAAATTCTGACATCCCGAATAGTGAAATAAATAATGACATCATTAAAATAATTGAAATATTCATACATCTTAAAATACACCTGAATTCATGAAATGGATTCATCAAATCGGATGACCCAGTATGCACACAAATACAATGTGGAGATACTGATCAGTCCATAGCTAATCCTCAAATGTTGTAGGAATTGTATTTATAAGGTTATCTTTATCCCTTGTGACTGAAAAACAAAATATGCCAGCTTAATATTTTGTTAGCCAAATTATTACAAAATGATAATTTTCCTATTGTAATGAAAAACATAAAAACTTATTCATTATATTGTTCTTTTTATTATGATATTCGGTAAAAGACTCAAAGCATGCAAATTCCTAATATTTTAGACTTGTAAATGTTGAAATCCATTTCATTTAAATGAAAAGATTACAGATAAAATCAAGCAAAGTGTTAAATATATAGCTTCATTGTCCTTTTTCCTTACCTATCTCTTTTCAATGTTTTTAAAAAATGCATATTTCACTAAGGGAATTTGACAGTATTAAGGCAAATTTTGCTGTTTGACATTTCTTGAGCATTATACTGGAGGAAAGTTTCTGGCACTATTTTCAGTGCTTCAGTTCAATTAGGGATTAAACTGACAGTGGGATGCTGTTAAATATTTCTGAGGCTTATTTTCTGATTAAAGAAAAAACCAAGCTACCTTTCCATTTAGCCTTGTATTTCTCTGCCTTATATTTCATAAAAAATAAGTTTTATTTCCAGAGTTAAATGAGGACTTAAAAATTAAAAGCAGCAGATTTTTTTGTGTGTTTTGCAAATCTAATGAGGTTTTGCAATGCTCCGTGCTGTTACTAGAGAAGAAAGGGTGTCACTGTGCTTGTTTGTGTTTATTTTTCCATCATAGAATTTCCTAATTCTGATCCTCGGTACTAAATTGAACTGTAAGGAAGAGAGCATTCTCTTTATTTCTTAAAAGGGAGAAACTTAAATATAAGCAGACTCCACTGTAAGCAATTCTTGACTTTTCACACCAATTCCCTACCTGTCACCTGACAGAGTTGACCTAGTTGTGTAGCCATGACTGGGTAGCTACATGCACATAGAAAAAATATTCAATGACTTCAGTTTCTAATCTCTTGTATATTCTTTCCCTTTGTTGTTCTTTTCCTTTATTGTATCTTACCCATGAGTTACTAAATGTTATTCCTACTTTCTCATCCTGCTGTTAAATATAGTTCCCCCCTTTTAAAAGCTAATAAGCAAATATATGTGTGTGTGTATTAT